ACCTAAACAATAAAATAGAAAAATCACAATACTAGCACTATAAACAAATAGAAATAGACAGAGGGCTTACAGAAAACAGTTAAAGGATATCCAATATGATAAGTAGAGAACATGAGGATAACATATACATGACCAAGATTTGACAAATACAAAATCAAGTGACAATATGTGGGTGTAGGCAACAAAATGAAATTTTCCAAAGTAGAAAGAATAAAAAAAAAAAAAAAAACAAGTGAGAGAAAATTAAACTAAGAGATAAACAATGTTTTTAAAACTCGTAATGAATATATGATATTTGAAACACTTAATATAAATTTTAAAATTGGAAACTGATGACAAAGTTTTAAAATATATTTGTTTTGTAGAATGTTTAATTGAATATCAAATATGACATAAGTGCATATTGGTTTTAAGCATTTTTAAAGTTTGCAGAATAACTGTGATGAGTCTTAAAACTGGAGGTTCTAAAGAATCCAAAAAACATTGTGAATTGAAAACACATTAGAATCTACTTATTTTATTAGATTTTACTTAATATTATTATACACAAATATTATTATAAGTCATTTAATGTTATCAGAACTATCAAATCCAAAACACATAAACGTACAATAAAAACTTTGCTTATTGAAATCAGAATTCAGTTATCAGGAAAACACTCTTACAGGCTTTTAAGCTATCTTTTCATACTATCAGTTTCAACATGTGGCATAACAATTTCATGTTATCAGTCTTAATCAGTGCTTTAAAAGTTAAACATTTTATTTTCTCATAGTACAGTGGTTTAAATTATTGGCATTTCTTACTTTAATTGCATGCTAGCTGTTGTTAAAAACAATAGATAAACAACATTGAATGAATTATTATTAATTAATAATAATAATAATAATACTGTAATAATAATTAGAATTAGTTTAACTTATACAATTTTTGACTGTTTTAATACATCCTTTTAATGTCAGTCTATAAAACCAGAATATCCACTAATTATAACATTATTCATACACCCCATTTAATGTTATCATTAGATTATTGTTACCAGTATAGACTAGTCCCAAAGTGATTATAATAAATGGATTTTACTGTATCAGAAAAACATTATGAAAGAGATATAACAATTTATCAAAACAAAAAAAATTTAATCTGAATGCTACAAGTTTAACTTAAATAACTATAAACATTAATTATAATTTTTAAGCTTCTGAATGCATAAGATGTAGGCAAACAAATTTTCAAACTATAGTAATACCGCGACTTAAGCGATCCCGAGGTTACACGATTTTCAAATCTCGTCAATTCATCTTTTGTTTGAGCGCCACACAACTCTTGATTACTCACTCCCCCCACACTATTGTTCAGCTTACATGTTCGGACGTGTCGTGTGGAATCGACACATAGCTACAATTTACTTTGTGTTATTTATTTCTGTGTTTGTTATATTTACATAGACTTGAGAGACTATGTGGTGATTTCTCGTAACCGTGAACAAATCAAAAGACGAGATAAGGTTAATGAGAACATTTATTAACTTACATATATCCAACTTGGATTTTACACAAATTGCAAAAATATACCTAGACTTACGCGGTTATTGCTCAGTCCTACCTATCGTGTAAGTTCAGGGTATTACTGTATTGATATAAAAATATAGAAAATTTATCAAATATTTATTTATTTATTACCATTTCTTTCAAAGTATCTTTCTTCCTGCAGCTATACAGTTATGATACATTATTTTGCAATTCAAAACTTTTTAAACATATTCTTCTCTTGGAATAGTCCTCAACTCATTGAAGGTAGTTCTCAAAAAGAAATATCTCTCGTGATTGAAATTATCATAGTATTTCATCAATTTGAGAAAAAGTCAAATCTACTGAGCAGGTGAAAACATTGACAAGAATCAGTGTTTTTTGATCACCGTTGCATGATAATCACAATATCAGAACTAGGGTTTTGCATTTCCCAGTCTTTTGCTTGTCCCAAATTCTAGGATAAAAGTGAACTGTTTCCTAGGATCTGAGAAATCCCAGGACAGAATTAATTATTTTTAAGATATACAAAATATCCTGAAATCAAATGATATAATTATTTTTTATTTTTTAAAGTAATTTAATACGTTCTGCAACCTCCAAAATAATATTAATAATGTTGTGTAAGATATATATTAAAAATTACCTTTGAATTATGTAGAAATATAGAAAAAACTTATTAAAGTTTGCTGGAAACTGCATACAACAACAACAACAAAATGCTTTGAATTGAGTTGAAAATTTAAAAAAAATGAACTTAGATCAAACTTCTAACTTAAAAGGTAATTTTCATTATTTAAATAAAACATAATACAAAATATTATTGTGAATTTTTATAATAAGATTTTAAAAAGCAAAGATGATCGATACTACGATCACTCAATCTGGTTTTTATTTTAGTAACGAAAAGTCCTGCTACCAAGAATGCCCTTTCCGATTCAATTGATGTTAGTGGAATTGTCTTTAATGCATTTAAGAGAAGACAGATGTTATATGTTTTTTACACCTGTAGCCTTGAAGATTTCTAGTTCGTTTTTGAGATTGTAGTACTTCTTTTGCTCTCTAGTATTCTTGATTTGTCTACCTTGGCTGCTTTAATAGCAGCATCAAGCTTATAACTCGATAATTCAGCAATTCATTTGGCTTTAATAATCAGGTTTATGAAGAAAAACTTCATACTTGCAGACTTCATACTCATTTGTATCCTTGCACAATTTGCACAACCTGGCATTATGCAGTTATCAAAGCTACAGGGCATGTTTAAAAATTAAGACAGCATAAGCACAATTATTCCAGATATTACAGGTTCTGACAAGTAAAGAATTTTTAGTCTTGCCACAAATAAGCTATGTATTTAACGAGGAAAAATTAAAAAAACTAATAAGTATGTTTAAAATTAATAAATATAAATGTATAATGACAGTTAATGAGTTCATTATACTTTCTATTTGCAAAATTTCCTCAACATTAACACAAAATAAGAAAAAAAGTGAATTTTTAAGAAATTTGTGGGATGAGGGATGGGATTTCCTGGGATGAGAAGAATTTCCCGGATTAAAAAACAACTAGGAACCCAGGATCCCATTTGAGAAACCCTAATCAGAACACACCACTACTGATATACAATAATATGTATATAATCTGTGAACAGCTAAATTTGTTTCATTTTTTTTTATATAAATATTTCTTTTATGTAAATATATTCTATTAAAGAGGAAAGATGTTCAAGCATTGGCATTTTCAGTGGACACATGGGTCTAATTAAATCACCTGTGTCATTGAATGCAGTTAGTTGACTCAGTTTTGTCCCAAAGTTTTTATCATATTGATGATACAATGTCATATTGTTTATACAATGTTTAAATTATTATTAACACAAAATCAATCATTATTTAAGAAAATAAGTTACAGAAATGCAACAATAGCTATATTCAGCAGGTAACAGTTCTAGAGCAACTGAGTATTTTTTTAAGTCAAATTCACTCTGTAGAAATGATATTTTGTTATTTCAAATGTATTGATGATTAAATTTAATATCAGACTTCATTCACAGCATTTCAGATAGCTGTAACCGATCAATGACAGCTGTACCCATTCACATACTAATTTTTTATGAATGTAAAATTATACAAAAGTATGAATAGGTATTTGAATGTAAAGGTATTACTTAAATATACTCCTTTATAGAGTATATTTAAGTTTATAAAAATGACTAGAAGATACTATTAGTGTTACCAACCATACACATTGACTCTTAGAGTCTTTTGGAAATACTTACTGATTGGTTGGTTGATCACTCTCTACCCACTCTCAAAGATCAGTGAATCTTGTAACAACTGGTTTATCACTGGAAACTTTATAGGTAACATTTTTGTATGATTCACCCAGTCTCAGCAGTTGAACCAGTAAGCATTTCCAAACAGACTCTTAATTCAACAAATCAATTGCCAACAAGTGGCATTGCTACCATACCTCTATGCAGAATTGTCAACTCTACAGAATGTAGCCATTGTGTGTGTAGACCATGGTCATATTTAATCTCAGTACAAAATTTCAGATGAAACAATTGATCCAGTTTGAAACTTTTTGATCACATCTTGTATATAAAAATTTCAATTATAATGCTGTTAATGAAAAATATTTTCCACAATTTGTAATCTAGATATTTTATAATTCCAAGAAATACAGCATAAAATATAATGTAATTTGGAAAATAATGTCTACTTTAACTTAAGATAAAATTCATTTAAAACAAACATTTTTGAAGCTGTTTGGCTCCAGATTCAGATGGAATAATCCTATAAACAAATAGCTCAAAGAAACAAAAAATAAGAGAGTTTAAATCTTTAAATTTCACTCTAGTGTACTTTATAAGATAATAAATTTTTCCATTTATTACCAATGATTACTGTGACATATCAGAAATTAATTATGATATAAAAATACATCAAATTATTTATTAAAAACAAGAAAAATAAACTTCTTGTTTCTTTAAAATAATAATTAACAAATGGTTTTTGTTATTTGATTTCATAAGCATGTCCTTGATAGGAATGAGTCTACAATTTGTTTAAAAAAAACATGATTGACATTATTGAAATAGAAAAAATATTACATGTATTGTATATGTGATATAATTTTTTCATTTGTTCTTGTTCTTTCTTTAAACACTGAATTATTTGCAAAATTGATTTGTGATTTAATTTTTAATTATACTAAAGAATGTATATTTCAAAAAATCAGAAAAATCCTCAAACATTAATTGGTTGAGACAATCCATCTAAAAATAATAATGATAGAATACTTAATGTTAATTTATATTACAAGTTATTTTTTTTTATTTTCTATACCTTAGTTTATCACTCAAGAAAGCACTGTAAAATTATATCAGAAATTATTTCTTGCATTTGTAATAAAATTAAGTCATTGTTTGTGAACAATTTGTTTATTAAAATTTAATATGCAACTTACCAAAAAATTCACCTTCAGGATTACTCTCCATTTCATCTTCTATTTGTTTCATGAGAGCTTCTATTTTTTTCTCAGCTTCTGTTGGACCTTTAGGTCTAGGTGGTGTTACATTATAAGGCAGCAATGTCTTTGTATTAAGAGTATTAGGTTTATAACCGGCAGTTGAGCCTGGATAAGGGGGTGGAAGGTCTTGATTTGATCGATTATTTACATGCTGCAGATTTGTTACAACTGCTTGTGAATTACAGTTTGGAATATTTCTATTTATTATATTTGGCTGTGATGGACCAAGCCATGATTGATTTGGATTTGTATGTTCATGTGGAAATTGGTTTTTACCAAGAGAATGAGGTCCTTGCTGAAATAATTTATGGTTAGATGTGTTATAAGAGGCATTTGTAACCATTGTTGGTTGTGCTGCATGCTGTAATGGATAAGCTTCACTAGAAGATAAAGTTCCTGTTGTCCCCAAACTAGCAACTGATGAACGATTACTGTAAGTTGCAGATGCTATTCCTGTCATATGGTTACCACTATTTAAAGTGCTAGTAACTATTTGTGACCCATAACCACCACTTGTGAAAGGCAATGTGCGTTGATTAAGTGAATGTACAAAAGTAGCTTGCGCATCTGTAGTAGCAGATGTAGATATAGTAGGAATAGTTGACATTCGTGTTGAATTTTGAATTTGTAAATCCTGCAAATTAGCATATAATGCAAAATCAGATGACTGTTTTGCCTGAGAATATGGAGGTGGAAGTTGACGGGATTCAGAGTTAGCACTATTAGAATTAGAGGATTTACCACCAGAATTTACTATACTACTTCTTGGGCTAACGTGAATCGGATCTTGAATACTAGCCGAGGATTTCAAATTATGTCGATGTAAATCACTAGAATAACTGTTAGCAGTCGAACGAGAATCGGGGTGGCCGGACATATTGCGAGAATAGAAAATATTCTCATATACCGGGCCCGTGATACTGGTTCTGGGAGAATTGGAATGATGAGAATCTCTACTAGAACTACTTAAACTACTTCTAGGACTGGAGTGTACAGAATCCTGACCTGGTCTTAAAGATACATTGGAAACAGGATTGGTAGTTACAAGTTTACCAGAATTTATAAGAAACCTGGAATTTTCTTCACTAAATGGCAAATCATGCTGAATATGGCTATAATTGTTGGTATCTATATTTGTTCCATTTGCATGATTAGATTTAGACACAGGTTGTTTAGGCGTAGCAAATCGTGATGCAGCTATAACACTGGCACGGTCAATTTTTCCATAAATAGGCGACTCTTTAGATTTTAAATTGTTATTTCCAACCATAAAGCTTTCTATTGCACCTACTGAACGGTTTGCCATTGTTAGATTCTTTGCACTTTCCAATTCATATTTTTTCTGGCTATTGTCTTTTGTCGATCTGGAAGTTTTATATAAAACCTTTCCATAGCTAGAATCTGAAGAGCCGTAAACACTCGATGGCACATACGGTTTACTATTTAAATTACTATAAAGTTCTCTTTTCTTTTCGAAGTCTTCTCCTGCAGATGTTTCTGATCGTTTTGGAGTGACTGAAGTAGGTAGAAAATTTCTACAAGGCACTTCAAATAAGCTCAAATCTTTCATAATCCTTGTTGTTTCGTCTTCTAGCTCTTCATCATATAATTCCATATTGGAATCATTAAGTTCTCTTTTGTTTTTACAATAAAATCATTTCTGCACTGATTATCTCAGTCATAAGTTACAAAACACAAGTCCGAACTTTCGACTTACTTTCTCCGTGACGTCATCAACAAGTTTCTGTTGTTTAACAATATACTCTCGGTCTATAGTCTTACTTTTCAAACTGTTATAAATTAATTTAAACATAAAATATTAATAATTCAACATACTTTTAATATAATAATTAAAACTTAATTTAATTAATAAAAATTTCTTTCATTTATACATTTTACTCGTAACAGAATTTTATCAATTTTTAATTCATACGTTTGCCGAAAGATGATGCTCGTTTCGATTATCAAAATTCAAGAAACCACAAACGGGACAAGTACACAACTCCTCGCATCCTTCCCGCCCCCTAGAACAGACGAAACACATACACGCAACATACAATCCAAGTCATACCATAAACCAGGGGTGGCCAACAAGTCGATCGCAAAACCAATTTTGGTCCATCGTTCGCGATGTCTTGACTTAATGTGTTACACTTGTAAGTTGTAACCGAACGCTACGCGTGAACGAAACGCGCAAACGCAACTGTAATGATATCAGACTTCCTCGTTCTTCCTCAGATGCGGTTTTGTCGGACCATGTGCAATCCATTTGCGTACAGTTGTAAAAGGGAAATAAGAAATATAGACAAAGGGTCGTAAAACCGAAAAAAAGAAGAGACAGAGAGAGTAGGTCGGGACACGGTAGAGAGAAAAAGGGTGAAGTGGTGATCCCCGAAAGTGACAACGTTGAGTTTCAATTTTTTTTTCTGTTTAAAATGTAAGTAGGCTACCTTTTCTTCGCGTTTTAAATTAAATTGTGGCTTTTCTTTTCTATCTAAACTTAGTATGTATTTCGCACCTCCCTCCCCCTCACCACTTAGACCAGGGATGGGCAACCTTTTTCTGTATAAGGGCCGCACTTCAAAACTTTTGAACTAACGCCGGCCACATACAAGATAAAAGAGGAGGGAAAATGCCGGTAAATCACAATTATTTATTCATATATAATTATAAAATTGAATAGGTATACGAGGGCTGTTCAAAAAGTATCGGACCTTTGGTCGGCAAAAATACATTTATTTATTTTGAGGTGCGAAACCCTAATCCCCTTCAAAGTAGTCTCCTTGGTAGTGTATACACTTCTCCCAGCGTTCCTGCCATTTCTGGAAACGCTGCTGGAACGCACCTTTTGGAATGGCCATCAGCCGGTCCGTCGCATTCCGCACGATGTCTTCTCTCAACTAAAATCGGGTTCCTTTTAGCGGCATTTTCAGCTTGGGAAATAGCTAAAAGTCACACGGAGCCATGTGGGGAGAGTACGGAGCGTGACGAACCACAGGAGTGTTGTGTTTGGCGACCAAAGCCCGAATTAGATACGCAGAATGGGCGGATGCGTTATCACGATGGAGCTGCCAAGTTTTGATCGATCACAGATCCGGTCGTTTGCGTCGCACAGCATCAGAAAGACGACGAAGGACCTCCTGGTAGTACTACTTTGCGATGGTTTGGCCTTGTGGTGCGTACTCACGATACACCACCCCACGAGAGTTGAAAAAACTGTCAACGTGACCTTGATATTGCTGCGGACCTGCCGCGCTTTTTTGGCCTCGAGGATCGTCCCCGAAAGCCTGCTGAATCTTGCAAATGGTTTACGCTCGGGTATCGCCAAGGGTTTTGGCAAAATTTGATGTAATATCGCTACTCACGTTGTTTAGTCATTTTCCAACTTAGTGGAATCCGACGCGAGCTCGCTACACGTTCTCACTCATAAGCCGACTACCAGCGACTGAAGCTTCCTGCAAGCGAGAAAAAATTCAGGGCTGTGCATGACTGTCCCCTCCACAACTCCAACAAAAGAGGCCTCCCGCGCATCATTGGTTTACGCAGAAAAAATAAAAGTCCGATACTTTTTGAACAGACCTTGTACTTAATTTAGCTTCTAGAACTGATGTAAACGTAATGTATCAAAAATATTTGATTAAATATTAGTCATTGCTAGTTTTAAATTAGTTTCGAGGTGAGTCTGTTAGCCGGTTTCTCGTTTTAATTTTTACTAAATTCATTGCAGGAAAAACTATTCACACACATAAGTTGTAGAAAATAACATTTGAATTTTTGCTGCATACTTCTTAAGCTAGGAAATTGATATATTTATACACATTTTATGCGACTCGGGCCGCGGAATGCCCATCCCTGACAAACTACGCCTACGACAACGAGTCGATCGAGACACATTTTTAAGATAAAAAGTAGATCTTATGTACACAAAAGTTGGCCACCCCTGCCATAAACGACACAACTAACAGACAGTTGTCGTCACGAAGGTAAAACGCAGAGAACGAGGAGGTGTCAACGAAACCACTATGGACAGCATTCACAAGACTACAAAAAAACAAACTAAAACTACGAAATCCAGAAATACACAACTAAAACAAATCAACATATCATTGAAAACGCGACGTAAATGAAAATCATGCAATGGAACACTACTAATCTACGTAATAAAATTGAACAGATAAAGACGGAGAACATGGTACAATTACGACGTAATAACTGTTCAAGAAACTTGGCTATCGATGACCAATAAAATCGATCCCCCAGGTTACAACGCATACTATACACACCGTACTAGGACGACGGGTGACAGACAAACGGAAGTCCATCCCATTCTCCTACGTCGAATCCAGCACCTCATCTTCTCAAGGTGACCCGGAATGGCTTATCACCGACATCTTTCTCCCAAGGCTCTTTCGTATTATTAATGTCTACTTCCCCCTCAGTCTCCAAATATCCTCCTCACTGATTTTTTCCGTCGACTTAACTACTCCTCGGCCATCATATGCGGCGATTTTAACGCGCAATCACGCGATATAGGGTAGCCACAATACCGTCATCTGTGGTAGTTTCATGGCCAGCCTTATCAACCAGTCTACTCTTATCCATTTAAACAACAGCCAATCAACATACTATTACAAAAAAGGGCCCGACACAGCCATATATTTCACTGTATTTACTAGTGCAGTGGTCTCCAAAGTGGGATACGCAAAGTGATACTTGGGGTACGCCATGTTTCTCTTCAAAATACTATATATGTATCCTGTCCGCAATCTGTTTGATCTTACGGTCATCCTCCCGAAGAAGTAGGATCACGATCACTTGCAATCATACAAGAAAAAAAAATTCAAATTGCGGGTAGCGGGAAATTTAGCAGGAATTATGTATTTATAGTGAAAATTTAAGCAAATTTTATTATATTATAGGGGGTACAACTTATAATTATTTTTGTCTTAGGGGTACGCGATTAAAAGAATTTGGAGATCACTGTACTAGTGACATATCCGCAATGACTACTTGGGCCACGTGTCAACGTGATTACGGCAGCAAACACAATATGATCGACCTCAATATATCCTCCTTACATTCCTATTCCTACCTCTCAGACACGGAAATACAATATCCACTGTAGGATGAGTACCGTCAACTTCGCCTTTAGTACAGGTAAACACAACATGCATCACGATCAAACCACCTCCAACAACATTGCTCAAACTCTGATATCCTGGGCGGCCCAAACTACATGGACCTACGATGACCCCATCAACAAACTCAAAAATCTAATAGCTGCACATTGTAATCATAACTCACGCCAACACAAACCAAACTCTCGTGGTGAAACGACGTAAACTAGCTCAAAAACGCCAAGCCTACTACCGCTTTAATAGGCAGATAAACCGTGACAATTGGATGCGTGGCAAAGCAGCAACAACCGAATTACAATGCACCATATTAGAACTAAAGCGCAACTTTGAGAGAGCACCTCACCATCTCTCCCAAATACAAGAATGACCTGTAGCGAATCTTTCATTTACTACGCACTAAAGGCAACTCCCCAAAGGATCACCTCATAATAAAATATGCTGGTCAGTATATCATCGATCCCAAGAAACAAACAGATATTTAACCAACACTTCACTCCCCAGACCCGCGAACACACCATAAAGATCCATACTCCAACCAATGCTGCTCTGTCGATTGATTCCTACAACCGCCTATATACCGAGCATGAACTGAACAACGTAATACAAAAAGGGAGAAATGCTACCCTCGGCATAGATGGCATTACCATGGACATTCTCAAAAAATTTAATAACCAGGCTAAAAGCAACCTCCTCTCTATCTATAAAAACATCTGGACTTCTGGCACCATCTCTAAAGCAATGAATAAAACGATCATAACCACCATTCACAAATCGAGAAGAGGCGACTAACGAAGCTAACTACTATCCAATTGCTTTGACCTTCTCCATTTCAAAACTTTTGAACGTCTGATTATTAAACGTTGGCAAAACTCAGCGATTCAACAACGTTGGTTCAACTATAAACACTTTGATGGTCTCCTGGGGAAGTGAAGAAAAGACCTTCTCACCCACGTGTTAATTCAAATAGGCTACATTCCTCCGCAATAGAGGTTACTATCTGAACCTCATCATACTCGATATTTGCAAAGTGTATGACACTATCAAACACAATCATATCATCCGGAAAGCCATAGTGAAGCGCCTCAAAGGCAACTATTATCTGGTTAAATAATTTTTACACAATAGACATATTCTTGTCAAATGGAGAGGCCGCAGTTCTTCTACAACCAACACAAAAGCAAAAACATACCGCAGGGAAGTGTAGCCTCCCATTCCTATTTGCGATCTTCATGAGCGACATTTTCCAACTAGAAAACAACCATATGATATATGTTTATGCAGATGATATAACTGTTATCACTCACGAGAGATACTGCATTCAATTCCGCCGCACAACTGTCAACTTCCTCTACGCCTTCGAGAAATGTACACAGAACGTTAACTGCCAACAACAAAAATGCTCGATCCTCCATATCCCAATAACCGTTCTAACCAAGAGATCACTTTCCAGGGTCAGAAAATTCCCGAGGTCACCAAACTAAAAACCCTCGGTACGTATATCACCGTTCGGTTCTCGTGGAATACGCACGTGCAATACATCAAAAACAAATTCAGGAAATTAATTAACATATTTAAAATATTCTGCAACAAAAACACTGGTGGCCTATTG